TGGTTTTGCTATGGTATCTTCAAGGAAGTCCCCTACCCTCCCATGCCAGATGCAGCAGCTCCAAAAAGAAAGATTGTCAGGTACCACCATTCCAGCTGTGTGATGGGGCTGTCACATAAGAAGTGGATGAAATGAGCAAAGCTGTGTGAGGATTCAGGTGGCTTATCGAGGCCATAGGATGTGGCAGGAATTGCGCTTTGAATTTTATGATTGCCTTCAAGATAAAAAACCTTAAATTAAATTGGAAGGAGAAAGTGGAACCTCTTGGCATGGAGCACTGCATGTGCTGGGGTGAAGGCTCCCAGGCAGCAGTTGTTACCACTGAAAATGAGAGGCAAACAGGTTGATGCAGAGCTAGGCATGAACAAAGTTTCTCTGACACTCCTGAAGAAGTTATCTTTAAAACAGAGTTTTCTCTCACACTTTGCAAAGTCTTGGCCCTCACTAGTAGTTTGCCTACCCCTGAAGTCTTCCAAGCCTTGACATCTGAACAGCAAGTTCAGGATGCTGTGGATAAAATTTGGGCTGTGAGGAGCACTTATGAAAGCAGAGATCAATCAGCCTGGTGAAATGGAAAGACAGGCTGAGAAAACAGCAGAGCCGAGCCAGATCTTTGTTTATGGTTATCAACTCAGAACAACTGGTTTCGAAGATTTTCATATTCAAAGCTAGGTAGTGCCACCAAAATGCAGGAGGTGATTACAGTGCCCTGAGACATGGTGTCACCTCCTGAATGAGACCTCACCGTAAAGTTAGAACTGGAAAAAGAAAACAAAGATTCCAATGCAGAGGACGGTCTGTTAGAAATAATAATGTGCCTACAGCGGTGACGACCCTGTGCCTCTCCAAAGAGCCCAAGTCCCTACATGTCTCCAGTCCCAGTGAAGCAGTGGGAGGTTTTTACAAGGAAATGGGCAGCAGGCAGTTGAGGTACTGTGTGCTGTCAAAAGGCACAGGGACTCAGTACTATCTCATGCATGCATTCACACAAACGTGGTGGAGGAAGGAGGGCAGGCAGAGGCTTCTCTTGGTAGGAAACTGCCAAGGAAGCCAAGGACTGAAACGGCCCTTGTTCTGCCGAACCTTGTCCCTGTACTTGCAGAGCCTGGTCACAGCTGAAACAGCTGCCTGGGCGAAACTTGAAAGTGAATTCAGCTCTGGCAGCCCATCAGCCCTTTCCGAGCCTGCTGTGCTAAGTGGCTGCTTGTTCCCTAGCTGACACACAGACAAGTGCATGATCCCAAGCACGATGTTGCAAAGCCACGCGTGTTAGGCTGGTCTCCCGAACAGAGCTCACGCAGCGTGCAGTATGCATCGCAGCACCGACAAGTCCGACGCACCAGTTATATCCACGCCCTCCGAAACCCTCCGGGGAGTCCTTAGCTCAGCACGGCCCTGGGCACCCCGCGCGGTGCTGCCTGCGCTGCCCGCGTCCTGCCACGGCGGGGAGCTGGGACAGCGGGGACGGGACAGGGAACAGGCGAAGGAAAAGGTCAGAGCACCTCCGCTCGGTGTGAGACAAGAAAAAACGAAGGAGGAGGAGGTGGAGGAGGAAAGTGCTGCGGCACCGCGGTGGAGATGAAGGACAGTGGGATGCGGGGCAGCTGCCTGCCGGAAAAGGGTGCACGGAGGAGGAGGAGGAGGAGGAGGAAGGGATTAGAGGGTAAACAGCGGTGAGGGAGACACTGAATTGGGTTTGCTTGCTGGGGCCTGTAAGCAAACCAAGAGAAAGCAGGAGAATGTTTAGGGGGGACAGGAAGCCAGAGGAGAGCAGAGAGGTTTCAGGGTGTATGGGCAGGTGGATGGCTGGCTCCAAATTGTGCCCTCTGGCACGTGGAAGTGTCTGGTCTTGCAAAAGTTACTGGTGAGCTGGCTAAAAACATGTCTTGCCCAGCAAAGATGCATGTTTTAAGAAGCTGCTGGTGGGGAGAGGTGTCTGCTGGTGGCCAAAACTGAGATCAGAAAGGACCTGAGAAGTGCCCAGGGCAAAGATGAGGCTCCAGGAGTTCTGCTGTTTCCCACCCCACCTTTGCTCCAGAAACCCTTCCTCACCCCTTCAGGGCTGATATTTTTCTGCTGGCTTCCTGTGTGGTGCCAGATGGTACAAAGGTAGTCAGTCCTCCCTTGGGAGCTCTGGGAAGCCTGGCTCCATCACAAATCCTGCACTCTGGGTGTGCCTTCCTTGGCTTCTGGCATACCACCCCCAGGGAGCAGGGAAGTTGAGATGGGTTTGGGAGGGAGAAGGCACATCCACCTGAAGGAGTCTCCTGTCCCATAGTTGCTGCAACAGACTCACCTCTGCTGCATCTCTTTTCTCCTCCCTACAGATGACAAACCCAGTGGTGCATCAAATTCCACTTTGGCTCTTGGTTCTGGAAACGAGGCTTCACAGTTCTGGTTCAGAACATCTCCCATCCGTGTCCTTCCTCTTGACCATCCTTCTCACTTTAGTCCAGGTTGCCCACCCTCTGATTGCCAACCAGCACTGCCACCTCTCCCTGGAATATGTGTTTTCCATACTTGGCTGCGTGATGCCTCCAGGTAACATGGCTTAGCACTCTCCATCATAACCTCGAGTTTTCAGTTGCTCCTAACATTAACCACGTGGGCTCAAACTGATGAATTTGTGCCTCTAGGGGGATTTATCTTTTTCTTTTTATTGGCATTTTTGCTACCTAGTGGTTGAGACCCAGCCCCAGCATTGCCTTTAGTCAGGCAGTTCTCAGCTGTTTGCAGCCTGGAATTGCAGCCTCATCTCTGTTACAAATCCCATGAAACCTGTGGAAAATCAAAGGCATGTTCTTGATAGGGAACAGCCACTTTAATACTGCCACAAGTAGAGTTCTACCCAAGAATTAATTTGCTGCCTCAGAGGGGATGCTCCTCAGGCTTCATGGCCTGTCATGTGTACCTCCCTTTCCAAAATGTTGGAGGTGTATGGATTAATAAAGACTTGTAAACAGAAAACACCACCAGCAGGCAAACAGAATTTATTTCTCCAACACCCTCCTCTGGCTGTTGGATAACTCTGGAAGACAAAGACCAGGCAAGGTAGGTCCTTACCTCTTGTCACAATCTAGCAGTGGGTGGGGACAATGGAAATGCAACCATACTTCATATTTCCCTCCAAGCAACTATCATGTACTAGCAAAAAACCTACTCCTATAGCCAGCCAATAAATTAACTCCATTGCCACAAGGCAGCACATTAAAGCCTTATGAAAAACAAGTTTCTCTTGTGTTGTCTAACAGAGCAATGCCTGGACATGCTCTCGGTCAGTAACTACGATCAGAGGCATCAGTGGGCAAAGGCTGGGGCTTGCAGTCATGAAACAAAAATGTTGGATGATGCCCTGAGAGTGCTGAGTCCTGTAGAGGACCACAAACATGGTGGAAAGCGTGGGCTAGTCTGCAGAGATCATTTTAAAAGGGTAGCTGTGTTACACAAAAATTTACATTGGGGAGAATAATTGTGTTTAGTCCCCACTCAACTTTATGGCAGATTGTGGTGCTGTCTGTCCACACCATTCCAACCAGATGACTGCTGTTCCTCTGATGCCAGCATAAAAAAAAAAAGACCCTTTCTGTGTGTCTCAACGAGTTGTGTGCTTGTGCCTGGTCTGCATCTAACGGGTCTCAGCTGAGCAGTCTGGCAGTGCCAGCAACTGGTGATGACAATACACTTCCTTCAAGGCAGTTTTTGGTAGCTCTCTTGTTTTTTACTTGCTTTCTGCATCTGGGACGAGGAAAGGTGCAGAGGAAGCCAGCTGCTCCTCTAGCCCAGCCGGGTGAACACTGGCAGAACCGAGGAACTGACGAGGGCCCTTGCAGATTTCCCGTGTGCAGCACAGCAGTGGAAAAAGGAAGCTCACTGAGTTGCTGCCGGTGGCCTGCCCAAGAGCTGTGGATGAGGCAGGCTGCAAGGCCACAGAAGCAAGAATAAGTTGATGGACTCTACAATAACATTACTTGTAGCAGCAATGTGACTTTGAACCGCACTTAAATGACAACTTTTTCATTACAGGAAGCTGAATATAATTTGATAAGGTTACAGCTGGCAGTTATCAATCCCCTACGAGGAGCTTAGATAAGGCAAATCTGAATCACATAGCTTATGACTGTACCAAAATCTGGGCCACTGCAAGAACTGAACCCAGTGTTGCTGAATAAAACCCAGACTTCCCATATAAAAGTCAGCAAGCAATTAAATAGCCAGTAAGAATAAATCAAAGCAGGAAGAGCTTTGGGCCGGGGGTAAACTAAAAGAATTCTGGACCCCTCTTCCTTGAACTCGAGAAGTTATGGGGTAACTGCTCTTTTGAAAGAGATAGCTAAGGGGCTTTCATTTGAAAAGAAAACAGAGAAGATCCTGATGTCCTTTGGCAGAGGAATGGCAGGGGAACAGGAAAAGAGGAACGTGCATCCCTTTTGATTATCAGCGATTTCTGGCTGTTTCTGAAAGAAGCCCTGTCCACGGTGTCACTGTGGAGGGCTGACACTTACAAAGGAACTGGCTAAATAACCAAAGGCCCCATCACTCTCATTGCTAAACACAAGACCCCGGGGCAACATACTCTATTAAGCTGTGCCAATGATTAGTACTGTGCAAGCACTTCTGTGCTGTTGTCTGTGATGTTTTGTGTAAGGGTGATGAGATATAAATTTAGAAATCAGCGTTGTCTACCCACCTATATCTTACTGGCATTTTTTCCCCCAAAATCCATTTTATGGCTGTAAAACGGCAAGTGTAGTATGAAAAATGAATAAGCTAAGTTAGGTCTGTAGGGAGTCTGCCTCTATTATTAGACCAACTGATACAGCTGGAGCAAACAGGAAATCTTTGAGGCATGTGATTTATCTTCGGGTTTGATCTGCAGCCTGTTTGTTTTTTTTTTCCCCAGCTGTAATTAGCAGTATAGTGAAAGACATTTCTCCTCCTTAAAAGACTTGCCTCTCTTATACTCCTAGGCTGCAGTGGCTCTAGCCACCCAAATACTGCCACAAACAGATCAGTCAGAGTTTAGGACCCAGAGCCCTGTTTTAGACTTACGGGATGTGACAGCTGACTGAAAATCAATGAAGTGTGATCTACCGAGTGTCACAACGAGGGCAAGATAAGGCTAGAAAGGTGCTGCCTTGCCTTGCAGACTCAGCTGTCCGCCTTGGTTTTCAACTAGATTGTTTTAGTCCCCCAGTAAGATGAGACCGACTTGCTTCTGAAAACAGAAGATCAGATTTGAAGGAGAAGCCGCGGCGGTGCCCATGCTGTCCCTGGTGCTCTTTGCTCTGTGTCTGAGCCACTCAGGTAGGTGTGATTTCTTCTTCTTACAAGATGAGCTGCAGGTGGTCAAGATCTTTTTTTTCTACTGGGCTCTTAGCTTTGCTGTTTTCTGGGATAAGGTGAACACTGGCTTCCCTTGGTCCTCCTCTAAACCAGGTTTGACTAGCAAAAGAGGCTTATGTCAGCTGCTGCCTTTGTGTTGCAACCACAGGCAGTTTCACAACAAGGTTTTAATAACTGGTGGCAGGGCGCTTGTGGGCTAGAAAGTAACAGAAAAAATCCTAAGCTTGACTCTCACTGCTAAAGGAAATCACAGGAGAATCTCCATCACCAAGAGGGGAAACTGAAATGCCCCAGGCAAACTGATGAAAGGCTAATTGTCCTGTCTGTATCTCTTGGGGTGTTTTGCACATTTGTTTGGAAGGCTTCCTGCCTCAACACTCCTGTTCCTGCACCAGTGTGGAACTGCTACTTGCACAGACCACAGAGAGAAACAAAAATGTGGGGAAGAGTGGGGATGGCAAACAGGGCTCGGGTACTTGCATACATGGTAACCTGCTGGGGAGCTCCCCAGCTTTTGCCTCCTCTGTGCACCAGTCAGGGATGTATCTGTCCTGTGGCTGTTTCTCTGTTTTTTTCAAAGGCAGTGCTACTTTGTTCAGTGTTTTCTCCGTGGCATTAGCTGGCTTCTTCGTCAGATGGGTCTTGATCAAAGAAACTGTTAGGCTATTTTCACACTTGACATGTCTTACTTCCCATTAATAGCTTCTGCTTTTAAACTGTATTTGTGCAGGTACTGAGGCTGCCTTACAAAGGCAGCAACCTTCTTCTTTCTGACTTAATTCTTTGTGAGACTTCTCTTTTTCACTCTTTTGTGTGGCTTCCCCAGCAGATGAGAATCAACACATCCATCCCCCAAAACAGCTTTGTCACCTCTCTTCTATACCCTCTTGGAGCATTAGGGTTCCTGAACTTCGTGTGAGGTGTGGGCTGTGAAATGGCACCATTTTCTTATGAGGGATGTTGTACACATCCACCGACACACAGGGTGTGTGGCTGCATGTATGTGTGCAGGAAGTCGTACCCAAATAAACCCAGAGCAATGTATTCTAGCATTAAGACAAAGCTGATTTTGATCCTGCATATTTAGGTGTTATGGATTTTTCTATTCAATGGCTTTTCCATTAAATTTCCTGTTTTTAACAACCATATATTCCTATGAAGCTCCTAAAGGGAAGGTGAAAAGTTTAGGAGATGGAGTCTCTGCAGAGACTCTTATGTGTCAGGGGATTGGACCACTGAGGTTGTGGGTAGTGAGGAGGAAGAAATGTGTTCTTTCTCCTCCTTTGGTTGTGGATGCAATGCCTGTCTGGCATGTTTGGGCAGCCAATCTAGTTTCCTAGGACAGACCCCACACTCTGTCCTTGACTTGCTGTGATGGAGCTAGAAAAAATCTCTGGCATAAAAAGAGGCCCTGGAACAAGCAGAAGGGACATTTGTGGTTCCCAGCTGGAAACAGAAGACCTCAAGGGCTTGTGACAAAGGGGTAAGGCAAAGAGTTGCCATAAGAGCTGCTATAACCTGTATTGTCACCTGCATGAGCCATTCCTGGCTGTGGGACAGGGTAGGTGGAAATGAGCTTGAAAGCTCCTTCTGACCAGCCAGCCTCTGTCCCCCCCCATGGGATTAGTAACCCCACCACAGCTGCACTCCAAGCACAAGGGACAAACACAGCTTGTGCTAGAACATGTGACAGGAAAGTTAATTGTCACCCTGTGTGAGTGGCAATCATCAGATTTCTGTGTTTATAACTCCTCAAAGAGGAACAGTCATTTGCTGTGTCTGGAAGCTGGGGATGGCAGTGTTGCTTGGACCTTGTGCTATCTTAAGAGAATCCAGACTGCATGGGGGAATGATTTTGTCCCATGGAAAGCTCTGGCATGAGAGCAGGTTTTCGCTTTAGGCAGTCCTTCAGCTGTGCTGCTTGCTGCCAGGTCCTGCCCTACCCACAGCCTCAGACAGACCCTGCTGAGGTAGAGGAGGTTGCACAACCTGTCTTGCCCAGGAGATGTGCAGCAGCTGCTGGGGAAGGGGAAATGGATAGAGACAGTGGTCTGTGGTTATATACTTTCTTCCATGTATGTGACAGAGCACTACCCTCTGCCTCCAGTTTTCTCTCTGGAGGAGCTGCTGGGCTCAGATGCCCTCTCCTCTCTCCCTGTGGCATAGAGACCCTTCTGGGGGCTGCCTTGACTCTCATGTTTGCTGCACAGTGTGTGTGAGCCCATTAACTGTGCTCTCCTGCCAGGGCTCTCCCACAGTCCTGTCCTTGCACTGTCCCTTGGCCGTGACCCTCTGCCTGCAGACCCCTCCTGCACCTAATGGCTGGCAATCCAGGCACAGGGGCTCACCCTGGGGCTGGCACGGCATGAGCTGGGCCCCGGGCAGCACCCTGTGGAATCCCCTTTGACTGCTGGCACAGCAATACTGGCTGTCACCCCAGCAGTATGGGGTCAATCAGCAGGAGCTCCTTTTTCCTTCATGGTGGCTTTGAAGAGAGGTAAAATCCCTCTCATCCTTGTGTGCTGTGTGTACTCACAAGGGAAGGGGTGGAGGTCATGTCAGGACCTTGGCATCACGGGGAGTCGGGATGAAATTTTGGGAAGGCTGGAGGGTCTGAACTGCCCTTCCCCTTTCACAGTAACAAGGGGAAGGGAGAGCATGGTGTCAGTGATCGTGGGAGTCCCAGGTCTTGTAGGTACAGCCTATCATGCCTCTGTGCTTGCCTTGCTTGCCTGGGCAGACTTGGCCCTGGCTGCATCATCCAGCTCCTGCTGCTGCCAGATGAGCTCCCTTTGCTTTTTGATATTGCCTACCTGCCCCACCTGTCCACTGGGAGAATTCAGCTTTCTGGATGATTTGCTGCTGTCCCCTGGTTAATCCCAGAAGGAGGATTCACTTTCAAGTCCTGCATGAGGCTCCCTCAGGCTTGTCTCACAGCGAGGAAATCCCACTACCCCAATCCTTGTGCAGAACAGCCTCCATCTCAGAGAGGCCACAGAAACTGGCCAAGTGCAAGTGAAATCCCTGGACCCTGAATTGCCCACAGTGAATTGCTGCCACAGCTAGCCAACTGGGGTTTGCCCCACAGTGACCAGGTCTCCCCTGTGGTCCCAGCCTTCTTTGGTACAGCATAGATATCTGAAATATCAGAACTCTTTCTCAAGGCGTTTTTTTTATCAGGCTGGATATTTGCTACTCAAGAGTGAAAGAGGGAACCTGATGTTCTGAGCCTGTGGGTCTTCTAAAGAGTAATAAGCAATAAAGACTGGGCAAGTGTGTTGTCCCAAGACAAAAAGGCCACAGAAAATATAAACCTAGTACAGAGTCAGTGCTCTGGACTGAAGGGGTTTTTTGTGTGTGTAGCTTGTCTTTCCGTCCTCTTGTTCTGGTTCTGCTGAGACTCTGTGCATCTGAATTCCTACAGATTTTACTGTGCAAGACAAGAGCTGCCCAGAGGCAAATTTGTCTCACATCATCGCTCTGCCTCACTCCTTCATGTCGTGGCTTTCTCCATGTCTGCTTTCTGGCATGTCCCCACTCTGTGTTGTTCTCTTCCAGACGTGGATGCCTTCAGTTCAATCGCTGAAAACGAGGATGCGCTCCTCAGGCACTTATTTGAAGGCTATCAGAAATGGATCCGTCCTGTGCAACACTCCAACGACACCATCAAAGTCTTCTTTGGATTAAAGATATCGCAGCTTGTGGATGTGGTAAGTGTTGCATCAGGCTTGGTAAAACACTCCTTCTTTTGTATGTCCACCTGGGAGGGCTGGTGATGCCGTTGGCTTTTGCCTGCTCACAGTGATGGTTGGGCAGCAAAAGGCCGAGCGTGATACGGTGCTATGGCCTTCTGCCCCACACACAGCATGGGCTGTAGGACTCATTTGTTTTGAAGGAAACCTGAAGGTCCTTTTCCCCCTCCTGTTCTCAGGAAATAAGGCCTAATGTCCATCAGAGTTTTATCAAACAGCCCATGCCAGACAGTCCTTGGCATCTGTGTTTGCAGTTTAATGACAAGGCAGGGTGGGCGAGAAAGAGTAGAGCTGGCTGGATATTATTCATTCTAAGCAAGCTTGTCTCCAGGCCAAAGGCAGTTCATGTCTTAACCCAGCTGGTTACTCAGATAAAACTCTAGAGGCAAAACAGTCAATCCCATGTTTTTGCCCATGTGGAAATTTTCCCTTCCCTTTCCACTGCAATGCACAGTAGAATTTCCACAAGGCCCAGAGGTACCCGCATAACAGTGTGCTCCTTACATCCCTCAGCCCCTGGCAGTGTCCTCTTGTGCTGTGGAAGACAAACTCTAATTTTGTACTTTATTTACATACTCAGGACAATGTTTCAGCTTGTATCTTCCCAGACTCCCTCTAGGCTGAGCAGTGTGGGGAGTTGAGCCACCCTGTGAGCCCACAGCCATGTGTGTGCGACCTGACACCACTGGCTGGCTGAGCCCTTCTGCCTCCCTAGTCTTTGGCATGCGATGCCTTTGAGCTCCTGTGAAATGCCAGACCTCCATTTTCCAGCTGCAGGAGCTCCCAGTGAGAGCGGGGACAGCACCCAGGAAGTCAGTTCATTTCCCCCAACAGTGACTGAAGAGCCCAGGCTCACGGGGAAACAGGACCACAGGGATCTCCTCATCTCAGCACAGGGTAGGACTCAGCGGGCTAGGTCTGCTTCTACTGTCTGTTTTCATATTGCAGTCCTCTCTATCTTGTGTCACCCTAGGATGAGAAGAATCAGCTGATGACAACCAACGTGTGGCTGAAACAGGTAAGTTAAACCACATCAGATCTCCCCTTTCCCCATGTGGGGCTACTGACCTGAGTGGCCATCCCAGTCTGCTGCCCACTGTGTCATCCATCCCATTTCACGGTGCTGAGTGGCCAGACAAAGGCTGCATCATGTTACCTTGCCTGAAATTTTTACTTCAGTCTTGTCACTTCAGAAAATGCATAAAGAGACAGAAAAGCAGGCAGGTGGGCCTTTAGGACATAGGGTACCCTCTTTTCCTGAGCTGCACTCCAGCTCTGTGCTCAAGCCAGCTGTATTTCAGGGAAGCAACACACCTGATACTGCAGTGGCTATCCCTGGGATGTTGAGTGTGCCCTGAGGGACTATCCTGTCTCAGACTTAGAGGTCACACAAGTACTGTCTCCCTTACCTGAGGTAAGAGTGGTGCCTCAGATAGATTTCTTCTTCATTCTTTGGTATATGTAAAGAGAAAGAAAAGGCCAGCATGTTACACACACACCCATACACCCTTCTCCAATAAAAGCTGTAGCAAATTAATCATATCTCTCTCACATAACTGGTTCTGGAAGTGACAGTGATTTATACAAATGCAGGAACGGTGCAAGTTGAACTGCTAGGTCTCTTTTTGTCTTCAGTCCTGAAGAACACTGCTGTTGGTTTAGGTTACATTGCACCAGCTTATTGACCTTGTGACAATTATTTTAAGTCTCTCAGCCATGTGAGTATCTACAAACATGTCAACTGATCCCAGGCCGAGACATAAAAAACGAGCTGCACTTGAAATCATGCCATGGAAAAAGGTCCCTGGGGGTCCCTGGGCTGGTGGGGGAGAAATGTGGCTCAGATTTTGTCTCAGTCTGGGTCCTGTAGTGCTGCAGTGAGTGTGAGCTTCTGGGTGGAGCAAGACCCCTAAAAACTATATGGACATTGTGTGCAAAGATGCTCTCCCTTGAAAAGGGAAAAGCTCAGGCTTCCCCTCACTACACGATAGACAGGAATTTCTCCTTTTGCTGGAGGAATTTGCCTCTGATCCAAATCCAGATGCTGAGAGCCTGCCCTAAAATATCTGTGGTATTACGTTTTCCTCACCTTCAGCTGCAATTGCAGAGCCCCTTTTGTGCACAGGGAGAGGTCTTGACTTCTTTACTTTGAGTATCCACTTGGGCAGAGAGCAGAGCCCTTTTACAGAGGTCACCCCTGTGCCCTCATCTGTCCTGTCCCCCTTCCCATCCACTCTTCTCGCAGGCTGCAGCACCCACCTTCCCCTGCAGATCCAAGCCCTGCAGCCTGCAGCTGTGAAATCAACCCATTTCACCCTCCTCATTCTCTCTGTTCCTACAAGTGTCCCCCGAAAGATTTTACAGCCTTTTGCAGCTTTTGATAGAATATTCCTGGGTTTGGTTTTCTCCTTCTTCTTAGGGAAGAGCTGGCTGCTTGTTCAGTTCAGGGCAGCAGTCTCATGTGCCCCAGGGCAGCCTCATCCCTCTGGCTGGGTGATGTCTTCACCTGCATTACAGTGGCTGCAGAGGAGGGGGACCTTGACTCCCACCAGGAGGCCAAATGCAAGTCCAGACTGCCCAAGGGTATTAGGTCTGAGAAGCTAATACAGATAGGCACCTGCCAACTCTCTCTCTGTTGCTGCTTAAACCTGCGTGGGCACATTTTGGGTTAACCCTCCCATGCTGAGCACCCTGTTTGTATTGCAGCAGTGACCTCCCAGCGTCACAGCCTGGAGCTTGGGTCACCTCTCTCACTGTGGCAAGTCAGGTTCTGCTGGAGGTTACCCCAAACATACTGCAGACATCAGGGACGTGCCACCATCCATTCAATGTCTCTCGGGCGTGGAAGAGAACCAGGGCACTTTGTCTGATCCTTTTGCCTGTGCTAAAAGAAGGATGTACCCAGAAGTGTGCACTGTAGACACACTGACTTCTCTGGAGGCCTTTGGAGGCTGTGCTCAGATTTTAGCCAGGGCAGCTCCCCAGGGTAACTCAGCCCTGTGATTTTCCAGAGTTGCTGAGCTGGGCTCTCAGGAGTTGGTGCTGTTTCTAATACCCCTTCTCAGTCTGATGGGCTGAGAGCATCAAGACCCAAATGAAATGCGAAGGGAGCAGAAAATGAGGCACAGATTCTGATTTTCACACATTCAGGTGGCCCCAGAATGTCAGGCTGTGCACTAAACACCTGTAGCCTGACACAGGTATCCTGCTCTGGGAACTGTGCATTTGTATAGGCTTAGTTTGAACTTGTCCACATGCAATCCACTGCTTGGGAGATTATTAGAGTGCATAAGCACAACATCTAGGAAAAAAAATACATAAAACCAAACAGAATTAATTTGGTTTTTTTTCATTTGGGTTGGGAAAAGTGAAAAACACTAAACCAAACCAGAACTCTCTAATGACAGAGGGACATTAGACATTCTCCTTCTGCAGCTGCTGGGTAGGTAAGGGAAGTCTGTCCTTCACCCTAGGTGTTTGAGGTTGAGGGGGAATCACAGTCATAGAATCACAGAATGGGTATTTTTGAAAGGGATCACTGTAGGTCATCTGCTCCAATCTCCCTGCTGTCATTTTAGAGTACATTGCACAGGATCACATCCAGATGGTTCTTGAATATCCCTAGTGAGGGAGACTCCACAACCTCTCTGGGCAACGTGTTCCAGTGCTCGGTCACCTGCACAGTAAAGAAGTTCTTCCTCATGTTCAATCATGTGGAATTTCGTCTGCATCAGTTTGTGCCCGTTACCTCTTGTCCTATTGCTCGTTACTGAGAAGAGCCTGTATCCATCCTCTTGACACCCTCCCTTCAGATACTCATATAATTGACGAGGTTCCCCCTCAGTTGTCTCTTCTGGAGGCTGAACAGGCCCAACAACCTCAGCTTTCCTCATAGGAGATATGCTCCAGTCCCTTGATCGTCTTTTTTGCTCTCTTCTGGACTCAATTCAAGAGCTCCATCTCTCTCTTGTCCTGAGCAGCCCAGAACTGAACACAGCTCTGGATGTGCCTCACCAGGGCAGAGTTCAGGTGCAGGATCACCTCCCTCGACCTGCTGGCAATGCTCTTCCTAAAGCACCCCAGGATCCCTTCTTGGCCACACAGGCACACTGCTGGCTCATGGACAGCTTGTTGACCACCAGGACCCCCAGGTCCTTCTCCACAGAGCTGCTTTCCAGCAGGTCAGCCCCCAACCTTTACCTGTGCCTGGGGTTATTCCTCCCCAGGTGCAGGACCCTGCATTTGTCTTTGTTGAATTTCAGAAGGTTCTTTTCTGTCCAACTCTCCAGCCTGTCGAGGTCCTTCTGAAGGGCTGCACAGCCCTCTGGGGCGCTGGCCACTCCTCCCAGCTTTGTGTCATCAGTGAATTTGCTGAGGAGGCATCTGCCCCTTCATCTAAGTAATTGATAGATAAGTTAAATAATTCTGAGCCCAATACTGAACCTTGGGGGACACCACTAGTGACAGGCCTTCAATTAGACCCTCTGCCACTGATTACGACACTCTGGGATCTGCATTCAGCCAGTTCTCAATCCACCTCACTGTCCTCTCATCCAGTTCACGCTTCTAGAGTTTGCCTATGAGGATGTTGTGAGAAACAGTCAAAAGCCTTGCTGAAGTCAAGGTAGACAATACCCACTGTTTTCCCCTTATCCATCCAGGTAGTTGTTTCATCATAGAAGGCAATATGGTTAGTCAAGCATGATTTATTTTTAGTGAATCCACACTGACTACTATTGATTACCTTCACCATTTCTCTGCAAGAGTCTGACTTTTCTTAGGTGGGCAAAAACTAAAATCCAAGGATTTTAATTTTTTTGTTAAACTAGAATATCCTTATGCTCAAGATGGTGGGACTTGATGAGCATGCAGGCGGAAACACACAAGGTGCAGAGAAGCTTTTAGTGGTTGCTAAGAAAGTATCTGGACTCAGGCAAACTATGGAGTAAACTAAGGGTCGAGAATCTGGATCCTGTGTTTCTTGGTCCACTTTCTATGGGTTAAGCTCTTGAGTGACAGCACAGAGATAGGAATTTGACAGAAGTGGAAAAGAAAGAGCAATTAGAAGGTCTGGAGCAGCTTGGAAGAAAGGGAGAAGAGAGGAAGGGACCTGCTGCCTACGTGCCAGCGTAGCCCACAGGGAGATTCCTATTTTTTCTAAACTGCTCAACTTCAAAATCTGCACACATCCTATTTTCTGCTCTAGTAAGAAGGCATACAACCATTTGCCTTGCAGACATGAAAGAGCACTTTAGCTGGGAGAGAAATCAATGCAGGGCGGGGAGAAGAGAGGAGTGTTACAGATGCAGCAAATAACCCAGGCCAAGGGCCTGCTCCAATTCAACTCCAGAGGGATGATTATATCTCCAGGTGGGTCACAGGGTATTTGCTGCTCTTGTATTAATGCAGGCTACAAGCTGACTGTGTTGGCTGCTGCTATCAGCCCTGACCAGCCCCTTGAATGATGTCTGTTTCCAGCCTGAGCCTCGTTGCACCTATTACAGGAAGCGTCCAGGACAGCTGTGAGATTGTGACCACTTAACAGCCCAGGCTGCCGTAAACATCTGTTAGATACCCAGCCTCAGAAAGTTCACATGAAAAGTGGTGTTTTCTGTTCCTGATGCTGAGAGCAGCAATGACCCCTCTCTCCACACCTGAACAGCTCCCACCCCTTCTTCAGGAGCAAGGGGGTGGAAAGTCATACCTGATACCTGATACCAGCCATTTGGGCAGTTCAGAGAACAGGTGCATATCTCTTCTGGTGCAGGTAGTGGGGCCATTAACTCTGCCATGGTGTCACCCTGAGCAACTGCCCCCTTTGCTTGTGCCTTGTGCCACGTTTTAGGAGGGGTCTACCAACCACCTACCCTTGACCTTGGGCCCTATCCCTTCCCTATGCCTGGAGGATGAGGATGTTCACTCTGCCTGTCTCTGTTTAGGTCTCTGCTGAGGCTCTGGGTTGCTGCCACACTGCAAAGGGTTGCAATAACAAGTGTCTGTAGGTATAGCTGTGAAACACATGTGGAATCAAAGAAGTAATAGGGGAACAACACAGTGGAAGAGGAATCAGAGAATACAGATTTTTTGGTTCTTCCTTAAGTTGTGGAGGAAATTGTCCAGGGAAGGCTGAGGCCCCCACATCCCTGGAGATTCCTTAGTGCTGGAGCCTAATGGAAACTGGTTCATCTTCTGCTTCTTGGTTTTGGCCGCAGTCCACAGGTCTTGTGTCTTATTGCTGCTGTTTCTGTGGGCAGGTGAAAATCCTCATCTATAATGAACAGAGATCAGAGAGCTGATTTTACACTGCATTTCCGTGGTAATCTCCAGATTGCTGGAGCCACTTTTTTATTATCTCTCCATCTGAAAAAGCTGCAATAGTGTACAGGTCTTTCTGATGAAAGAAAATGATTTTTTTGCAAGGATAATGAACACAGATATTAGTTCCTATGTTCTGTTCACGGATAAAAGCCATGTCTCCACTGAAAAGTAAAGAAAGGCCACCTCTTTTACACTTAAGTAGTAGTAACCATGCCATCTGGCTCTTCTGTGGGGTCCATGCCAGCCAAAACCACCATGGGCTGGTCCACAGAGGGAAGCAGAGGTGCTGTACTAAAGGGAAGTGGCTCCTTCCTTTTGACTATCCTCAGGTGGGCTGTGCAGGATGGTAGAAGTGAGAGTCAAGTGCTCTCCAGGAGTGCCTACCTTGAGGTTGCCTGCATCGGGATGGGTTTTTGGGTCCCAGCTGTGTATGGAGGGGCAGTGCTTGTGGGAATTAACATCCCCCAGCCATGCCTGTCTGGCATCCCCTCTGCGTCTGAGCAGCCTTACACCAAGCTCTACCCATTGTGCTGTGCAGGGGCAGGGGCACAGCAGGGGCCCTGCAGCACTGGGGGAAGGCAGGAGCTGGGGGAAGGAATGAGGCTGCTACATATGAGTGGGCAGAGGACTCTGTTGTTTTGTTACAGGAATGGATGGACCACAAGCTCTCCTGGAATCCGGAGGAATACGGTGGGATCACTGCTATCCGTGTCCCCTCTGAGTCTCTGTGGCTTCCTGACATTGTTTTGTTTGAAAAGTGAGTAACATGGTTCCTTGCTCAGAGCTTAGGCCAGAGCTCGGGCAAGGCATGTCAGCTGCCACGAAGCTTGGGTGTGCTGACACAGGGCTGCTTCTTTAGGCAGTGTGAATGTTGGCTTCCCTTGTGCTCCGGGTAAGGGATAAAAAGCAGAGCTGAGAGGTGGTAGGACTGGGGTAAACATAGTCCTGAACTTGGTACTGTTTCTTCCTATCCAACTCCCAGTGCTGATGGACGTTTTGAAGGATCCCTGATGACCAAAGCCGTGGTGAAGTACAATGGAGTGGTGACCTGGACACCACCGGCCAGTTACAAGAGCTCCTGCACAATGGACGTGACCTTCTTCCCCTTCGACAGGCAGAACTGCTCCATGAAGTTTGGGTCGTGGACATATGATGGCAATATGGTGGACTTGATTTTAGTGGATGAAAACGTAGATAGGACAGACTTCTTTGATAATGGGGAGTGGGAGATCTTAAATGCCAAAGGTATGAAAGGCAACAGGAAGGACGGGCTGTACTCTTACCCATTTGTCACTTACTCCTTTGTGTTGAGACGCCTTCCCCTGTTTTATACTCTTTTCTTAATAATACCCTGCCTGGGATTGTCTTTTCTAACTGTCCTGGTGTTTTACCTACCTTCAGATGAAGGGGAAAAACTTTCACTGTCTACGTCAGTTCTAGTTTCCCTCACCGTTTTCCTTTTAGTGATTGAGGAAATAATCCCTTCTTCTTCCAAAGTCATCCCCCTGATCGGTGAGTATCTGCTCTTCATCATGATTTTTGTGACCCTCTCCATCATCGTGACTGTGTTTGTCATCAACGTCCACCACCGGTCGTCAGCAACTTACCATCCCATGGCTCCCTGGGTTAAAAGGCTCTTTCTCCAGAAGTTGCCTCGGCTGCTCTGCATGAAGGGCCACGTAGATCGCTACTCCTTCTCAGAAGCTGAAGAAAAGGGAAGCACCTTGAAATCAAAGTTTCTGGGGAAGCAGAAATACAGGCAAGCAAAAGACAGAGAAAAAATTGTCGTTGCCTTCCTGGAAAAGGCCGCTGACTCCATTCGGTACATCTCCAGGCACGTTAAAAAGGAGCATTTCATCAGACAGGTAGGTGAAGGGCAAGGAGAGATCACAGTATCCTTGATAGCAATAGCTTGCAAGTTCTTTCCTTTTCTGCATGCTTTTCCCTTTGCCTCTCTTTCCGGCTCTCACCTGGGACGTGTTCTTCCTTGGACCTTGATAAATAATATGGGTTTTGGGACAACACATTGCTTCAAGGAGAAGTGTATTGTGATGTGAGAGTCCCAGCTCTTCACAGATGCAAGAGGCCACAGCAGACTCTCCTAGAGGAAATCCTGGTTTGGGATTATTTTAATAACCTTGTCCTGTGTGAGTTTGGGATACATGAGAATCTGGAAGCCTCTGAACAGCCATTTTTAATGAAAAGGTCCCTTGAATTCATTTAATAAATAGCACTGTCGTGTGTGTAGGGTTGTGCCAGCACTCGCAATTCAAAATTCCCCTCCTGCATGTACTCAATCCGAGTCAACAAATCACTTAAGCAAACACAAGCCAGTCGAACCACTTGTGCTCCAAGCAATGCCTGCGTCCAAGCACTGTGCCAGAGCTTCGTCCTGGCACTTCAAGGGAAATGCAGTTCAGTGAAATGAAATCCAGTTCACTATAAAGCCATCTTCAAGCTTTAAGTCTGTAAACTTTCACATACACACCTAGCTAAAAGCTTTCACACAGGTTGAAAAAGTCTGATTACCACGTGTGTAGAACTATGGAATTGTTTTGGAGTTCTGGGTGATTTGCAGCTATGAGTGCTGAAAAGGTGATCTGTGTCAGTTTTAAGACACAGCACACTACAAACTCCTAATTTTAAAAAGAGATTTGGGGAGCTGAAATACACGTAGCAGTATCAACAAAGTACTAGGCTTGTCATGTTTATGTTTGTCTTCCCTCTGTCCTTCCCAGGTGGTACAAGACTGGAAGTTTGTAGCTCAAGTCCTGGACCGGATTTTCCTGTGGTTATTTCTGGTGGTGTCAGTGACGGGTTCAGTTCTCATCTTTACACCCGCATTACGGATATGGTTGAACAATGCTTTGTAGAAAATACTCCCACAGTAGCATACAATAAGTACAATGCCAAGGGATGGTGGTGCCTTCAAGCTTAGTCTGTGTTGTACAGGAGGGGAAGCAAGAGCGAGAATGAGGGAAGGTGATGTTTGATTGTGAGCATTGACCAGTGCTTTCAATCTACATATAACTCTGCCAGTTACAGATTTTGCTGAAATCAGAGAAGGGCTGGGTGCACAGCCAAGTCCTAAAGTAAACTGAGGTTGCACATCTGGGTTATAATTATTTTGTTGGTAGCTTGGTTATATTACAATAAAAGCTAAGATTATTAGTTAAAATTGGAAATAGTTCTCGCACAGTGATCATACTTGAAAGGCAGATCTGCCAGTTAAAATGCTACTTTATAACAGAAGTTACAGTAGGAACACAAATCTGTACTCAGTTATCTATGTTTCCAAGTAAAACCCACAAAATCTCTACAGGTTACTTTATGCACATGTCAGAACTGATGATTGCATAGCATGTGCATCAGAAAAAGTACAAACACTTTTGAGAGGGGATGTTCAAAACCTTGGTTCTCTGGCCTCACCTTGCAGCAGGATCAGCTCGGCAGTGGCAGAACCTGCATTCTGCCCAGCCTTCATGGCATGCACACCTCATCTCTCATCTCAGCCATCAGGAAGCTACCAGCCATCAGGAAGCTACCCACTGTTCTGTATTATTTGCAATTTTGCTTGCTGCTCAACCAGAAAGCTGAACAAGTGAGGGTTTTCCCTATGTTCCACACTTAGAAACTATGATTCTCTCACCTGCTAGTTCACAAGACAAGTGGAAGATCACCTGAAGCATATGGCTTGGAGGAACATGGTTATGCTGCTCCTTAAGGCAACAGTGATGTTCCTGAACAGTTTGGTGGGGGGGAAGCTGCAAACATTGTTTTTGGCAAATGAAACTTGTGGTTGCTGCAGGAGTGGAGTTCCTCCTGAGTGCTATGGGGTGGGCTGGTTACCAGGAGGATACATCCTTGGATGTTGGCTTGTTCATGTTTCCCAGGCAATTCAGAATTTTATTCCTTTGATTCATTTATATGGGATCCTCCTGCATAATTAGAAACAGCTCTTAATTGTTAAGTGAGATGTGACAGAAAACACACAAGTGAAACTCTTGAACACGCAGGTGAAGCTCTCACCACTTTTGCTAGGGCAGTGTTTTCCAACTTGGAGTGCTGTAGAAAATCCCATTCAGAACTTTGAAATGTTTTCAAGGCTAGCGAGGGGTTGGAGATCCAGTTTTATCTAAATGTATGTAAAAGCTTAAGGTAGCCTTGAAACTGTCTCCCCAGGGATACAGGTGAGAAAGTGTTAAAAATACATAGAGGTATTCTTGTGCTTGGGTTTTGCATGCACGCCAGACCTCTGTAAATTAATATAATCCTATCTCATTGTGTCAATGCAGAAAATTCTGTTTATTTGTGCAGTTATTATTAATAAAGATGTATTTAGTGAACGATTCCTGAGGTGAGAGTGGTTATACACTGGGCTTTGTTGTTGATTTATTGTCAGCAAGGCTAGATTGTAGTCCATTTAAAAAGCCTGGTCTCAAATCTATTCAAACAGAGGTGTCACATTCTTGGAAAGTCCTCATAATATTTTAGCTCCATATGTGAGTTTGAGCAAGGAGCAATCAGATCTGGTCATTGTATTGAAGGAACCTAGAACAAACCCATTTAGTTTAGCATATATAGATAGATGCCTTAACATAAGACACTGGTATAAAATTTATGCACACTGACCTTTCTACCAGCTGCTCCTCTCTTCTTGTGTAAGTTGCATTTGTTCCCCTGGCTGGTACTGTGAAATATCCATAGCAAAAGAGCCAGGAAGCCCTTCTTTCCAGTATTTACAGACTCTTGAATTCAAGTAGTGATAGGTATTCCCTCTGAGCACTGCTGCCAGGAGGCTGTTAGCTGGGATAGATGACAACCTCCTCTCCCAGGCAAGTGCTTCAGGTGTTTATTTGACAAATGTGTCTGATTCCAGGCTGCTTTGCCTGGCTTATGCTGGTAAAGGTCAGAATGTTCAGGTGATTGGAGTGTGAGGTGTGTGAACACTGCACATGTGTGGCTTCTGGACTCCAGTCTTCTTAGCATTGCATTTGGGACTGCTGCCTCTGTAGTCTCACTACTCACTCCCTTGAGCTGAGTAGTTCCCGAGCTTCTTTAAGTCCCTTTGCTGCTGGCCCACAAAAACATTCAGTGTGTTCCACACGACGAAAACACAACTAGGAGGACATTTGGGCAGACAGTCCTCCGTCCACGTGCTCTGCCAGCAGATGGCAACATTGCAGATTACAAATCCCAACAAAAAGAACCAGCCACCGTGTGCCTTACTACTCTCTCAACATATGGGTCCTCGATGTCTGGGCGCTGGCTGACCTGCCAGCGTCTGGGATGGCACTAGCTCTGGTTGTAGCTTTTCTTGTTATTTCAGTTAGAAGGTCCTGCAACAAGAGCTGGGGCAAGCAGAAATGTCATTTTTGTGTGGGTTCTTCCATGTTTGCTGATGCAGCTTTCTCCAGGGTGACATGCTTATCATGTCCCCCATTCCCACTCTCTTTAATCAGCCAAGTACTTTCACAAAGCTGACAGGAGTACATCAGGCTCCCAGTCCTGGATGTGCCAAACAGCTGGAAATGGCAGAAGATATAAGGGGAAATAGTTCACTCAGAAAGAGACAGAACGTTACTTAAGATACCAGGCTGATGAGCACAGAGAGATGAGTAGTTCTGTAAATGACAAAGTGAGGGAGCTGGTGCTGAGGCATAAAGGCTTCCTAACTGGAGATGAGGAGCTGTACAACTGGGAATGCTTTGACAAAAAATCAGGGATTTTGCTGAAGTCAGATTATTGACTATAGGGTAGTAGCTGTCATGCTTAAGACACCTGTGCAATACAGCTTCCACCACAATATTCTCATTGTGTGGATGGTCATAGAGTGCAACAGTGAATGCTGGCAGTCAGATGTCTTCTTCCAGAAAATGTCTTTTTGTAGAAATGAGGCTTTCAGGCTCAGATTGCAGCTCTGCTCTTCAAATTTCCTTTCTTTTCCCTCATCTCCTTTCTGATTAAAGAGTCTGCATAGTAAATGTCATCTAGTCGCATCTATAAATGTGTTTATAGATGAGAGTTTAAAAAAGACAGAGAGTTTAAATAAACAAACACACAAATTCTTCAAGAAGGTATGTCTCAGGAGTGATATTTAATTGACAGGTTGACAAAATAAGCCATGCTTGTTCACACATCTGTTTGTCAGTCACTACATAATTATGCAACATTCAGGAAGATTACAGAAAATATAGTTTTCTTCTAGACAGTCATGACTGGCTGGATTAAGACAGTTATATTCTTGTCATTCCACCTTTATCTCTAAGATACACATTTATTCAATCCTATTCTCTTTATTGTGGAGCATCACAAAAGAGTAAAAGGACAGTGAGTTCAGAAACAGCGATTCATACTTTCCACGGATTGGTGATGTTCAAAGCAGAGACTGATATGTGGCAGACACAGAAAACACTGCACTGACACTGTACAGTTAAGGTTAGGTGCTCTTAAAAGAAAGAAGAGTTTTGCACTGTTGAAGCTACCGGGTTTAATTGGAGTGTTGCCTTTTAAAGAAGAATCCTTGGGCACAAACCCAACAGGAATATAAACGGACAAGGGACCTAAGGGTAAACCATCCATATATTATAGAAACCACATCAGGGTCACATCTGCAAAGTTTTTCAGGATTAAGCACACTAGGATTGGGAATCTGGTTATGTAGCAGCAACCTCAGCCCCAAAGGATGTGTCCCTGCAGTTACAGGTTTGCACACACAGCACTGACCCACGAGGAACCAGCAAGTAGAACACTGTCTGCACAGCAGTGCTCAGCCAAGGTGCTCAGCTTTGCAGAGGATTCATGATATCCAGCCTTCTTCTCCTGAGATATGTATAATCTAAGTTGGCCTGCAGCTTTAAAAACAGAAAAACTCAGATCAATCTGATTCTGTCAAGCCAATTCTGTCTGTGATCAGTACCCACTCAGGAATGAACCCTTCCATGCTGGGCTTATGTCTGAGCCCAAGCAAGCAAGAGTTTTCAGAGAGGAAACTCCTGTGGAACTAGGACCATTGTTAATCTGACAAGAGAGATGTGGCTTAGAAATCCCACTGAAGCTCATCAAGGTCTTGGTATTCAGTATTAGGAAACAGAGGGGACTTTAGTCACATGCAAAGCTAAATGGTAGATAAACTAGGTTTTCAAGATTTTAGGATCATGTAGTTTTCAAATGTGTACACCTCACATGGTTAGCACATTCTAATATTAAGTCAGTTTGTCTTCAAATATGATTAAGTGTTTAAGACCTGTCTGATTTCAAACACAAATATAATCATGTGCTTTATTGATCTGGGACCCTCTGTGGCTGGGTGCTGAGGAGGAGATGAGCAGATGGGTTATGTAAGAGGAGAGAAATACAAGGTAAGTTTACAAACCGAAAATGAAACAAACCCCAAAATGGGTAAAAAGCAGCGGATCAAGTTATTTATCTGCTATTAGTGGCTGGATAAAGAGTCCTGCAGTCCCAAACACACAAATGATTATAAATACCCACAGAAATACTCTGTCGATCACCATAGCTACGTATTTCCAGTCATCTTCCACCTGCAAGAGAATAAAGAAAGAAAAGGATAAACTACATATGGTGTTACATTGAATTGCTAGTTGACAGCACGCAGTAGAAATGTCCCTTCTCCTTTTGAATGCAAGGAAGAACATACATGCAAGTCAGGAGTGTTGCTTGTCATGCTTACAACTGCTGCAGTTTTCAAGTCTCTTCCGAAGAGGCTGATTTTCTAAAAGTGTTTTGCCACTTTTGGCTGAGAACATACAGCACTGTCCTGGTCCACTGAATTCTTCTAAATGTTTGAGTCTGTTGTCAAACTCCGGCTATGATGCTGACACTAACAAATAGGATCTGGCCCTGTGGTGGGTGCAGAGTGGGGTGATGTAACAGCAGGCACAACCACCATAGCTGCACATCACTAGACTCTGTCAAGGGATGTATCCCGACAGCCTGCACAAGAGAGTTTGCTATTCTGGTCTGATTTGATGCAATCAGGCTCTGTTGATTTCAGAAAAGTGGACAAATGGACACATGGACTATAGCAAGTCTGACAGAGCAAACTGCAGTGTCTTGTCCTAAGCAGGACAGAGTGGACTGTGTTTGCCTGACACATAGACCTTAGAACCATGTTCAGTGAATTTGCTGTCCTTTAAACTGTACCTTTTAACTCGTACTACATACAAGAACCACTGTATCAGATGAACATTCACAAGTGACTGTTTAAGAGCTCTCTGCTGAGGGATCTTTCACTTGCTTTCCCAATTTCGTTATATTTTCCTCCAAGGTGCTGCTGCTGTACTTCACATGAAAAAAACGCAGGAAGAACTCCAGCTGCTGTAAATGTTGACACAGTTTTTAAAGGACTTTTATTTATGTAGGACAAGTGCATGATACCACCCATACTGCATTGTATGTCTGGCTGAAGCA